AGGTTTGCATGCTCAGTAAGAACAATGTCTACCCAGAACTTCAGAGAGGCAAGACCATGGTTAACACTGACTAAGATGTGGGAGAGAGCAAAGATAACACGATGGCATGGGGGGAAGGTCACAGGGAGACAGTAGCTATGGGAAAGGAAGAAGGTGGATTACCTTGTGGTCCCATGCAGATGCAGGCAAGTCTCTCAAGGTCCAGGTGAGAAACAGCAGGCCTAGCTGAAGGAGAGTGAAAGGCAAGTCATTGTAGAATCAGAGAGCAGAAGGACATGGCATGGAAGGAAATAGTCCTTCTGGGTGTTTTTGGGTGGCCACAGAAGAGCTGGCAGTATCTTTGTGATGGAGAAGAGCAGGTCTGTATGGTGGGTGGGGAAGGTTAACCCTGAAGGAACTAATTGCTAAATCTGGGTCACCAAAATGTGTTTTAAATCATTGTTAAAGAATAATCTCAAATAGTATTTACCTTTATATAACATTTCTTTTATATTTTTGAGCATCAATCTCCAAGCTTTATGCATGAAATAGTATAGCACTTGGTTCTGTCCTCCACCACATGTTGTTAATCCAATTAATCATAGGCATTCATTATTTACTGAACCTTATACAATGTTTATTAAATGATTATATTTTGGTTTTTCCTTTTAAAATTACTATGAATCAATTTAATAATTAATGCAAAGAGAGCGGGAAGTTTACGATTAGGGAGCACAGTAAAGGAAGTCTGAAAACAAATTTCTATGTAAATCTAAGAATTCAAACTTAATAGTCTATTTTTCATTACTATGTTCTTTCTTTCTCTGATGGCACACAGTTTCATATAGACGAAGCATAAGTAAAATCTAAGATTTTTCTACTCCAAACTCTTTCCTACCATATAAAGGTGGGGATAACTCAGACTTCAGGCATGCAAAACAATACTCTAGCAGCTAAGCTACATGCCTGGGGAAATGAATGATGCTTTGATGTTTTAAACACCACTTGGTTCCTAATTTTATCTCAAAGAGTTGTACCATTATTTGTCTTCACTAAGGCTCCTGCCTCTGAGTTCAGGATATAACAGGAAGACATGCAAATAATGCCCTCCTCTGCCCATGAAAAGCAACCCTGATGCTGAAGCTCTGACAGAGGTACCCAGCACTGGACTCCCTGGTCTTCCCATTCAGTGGTCATCAGTGAACATTCAATACTCAGCATGGAGTTGAGACTGAGCTGGGTTTTCCTTGTTGCTCTTTTGATAGGTAATTTATGTATAAGAAATGATACTGTGTGAGTGGATGAGTGAGAGGGACAGTGGACATTTGTGAGAGTTTACAAACACGATTCTCTTTTCACAGGTGTCCAGTGTGAGGTGCAGATGGTGGAGTCGGGGGGAGGCTTGGTGCAGCCTGGAAAGTCCCTGAAACTCTCCTGTGCAGCCTCTGGATTCACTTTGGTGACTACTGGATGAACTGAGCCCGCCAGGCTCCAGGGAAGGGGTTGGAATGGATTGCAAGTATTGAACAAAAAACAAATAATTATGCAACACATTATGGGGAGTCTGTGAGTGGCAGATTTACCATCTCAAGAGACGACTCCAAAAGTAGCGTCTACCTGCAAATGAACAGCTTAAGAGCTGAAGACTCTGCCACTTATTACTGCACTAAACACCTCTTTCTCTGGGAACCTTGGGCATTGGGTCATCCCGCTCACTGACACCAGTGCTCAGAACCTTTGGGGGGGCAGATCACACATGGAGGGAGGAACGGGGCACAACAGGTGCAGACATGACTGAGTGCTGGTTTATGTGGTCACAGCTGTCACCCCATCTACTGGTTTCTCAGGATGCTCTCTGTGTTTATGTTCTTTGGGGTCTGAAATAACAGAGTTCTCTTTTGCCACAATTTACAATATTACACACAACGCAGTCTAACGTGAATTACATGGAAATATCTCACCTCTGATTGCAGAAATGACTCTGGTGATGACACAGGATCAAATGCTGAGTGAGGTCTGCAGTATTGGTGAGGATTTTCCCTCATGAGATTCAGACAAAGACTCAGTGGTATCCGGTTAGGACAGTGTCTGGGATTAGGGGACTCACTGGGGAGGTGAGGCAACACTCAGTGACCCCCACACCCTAACAGGTCTCAGGTCTTCTGTTTCCCTGAGCACTGTGCACATCAGACACAGATGTGACCCATTTGTATTTTCCCTGATGCAGTTACTTCACCTGTAACTTTCATCATGGGGTCTCCTGTTACATTTTGTTCTTCTAACTCCTGGTCTTTGTTCAAAACAGACATGAGCCAGTTACATGAAACTCACCTGAGACCTAGGGTGTAACCCTGTGTGACAAGGTTAAGGCTGTTATTGAATGAAAACAAGAAATATTTTTTAAAAAAAAAGCATGACTTGTAGCACTTATGGTGGAGGAGTAACTTTATTATTGGTATGTCAGAGAGCATAGCCAGAGGCTTGGACATCTGGGAGAGTCCAGAGTGGACACTACCCTGGGTCATGTGACGAGTGGGGGGAGTGGTAAGGGGAGGGAACACAGGGGAACCAGGTGAAGCACTCAGGACGCCCAAAAGAGATTAAAAGAACCAGGTCCCTGAAACAGTTGGATTATATACAGGAGAGCAGCTCAGGTAGGGGAGCCCAGCCCAGGGCTGGAATGTTGAGGGTATGTAGAAGGATATGCCAGCCAGGAGGACCCTGTAAGAAGTAGGGACTGAGGGCAGCAGGGAGATATGGTGTTCACTTTTGGCCGTGATATTTTTAATTGGCACCTCATTCATTTGTCCCAGGTTTGAAAGCTAACATCTCAGGCTTTTACTGATAAAAAACAAATGATTAGGAGCTATGTGTAATCTTCTCTATGACTACTTCCTGCCACACTGAGGCATCATTGTTGGGTGGTGTAATGGTTGACTGTAATAGATTCCATGAAAACCTGGATAAAGGGAAGTCAGGTATTTATTTGGGACTTACTCATGAATAAAAATAGATAGAGAACCACTGAGGTCTTCTGCCCAGAGATCTGGAAGCTGAGACCTGATCTGCAAACACAGTTGAAGACAAGAGCTCCTCTCTCTGTCTGCATGCAGCACCTGAGTGTCCAACAGGAAGGGGCTGGAACCTAAAAGACTATTGGGTGGGTGAATTCCCACAACAGTGTGGGGCCAATAGAAGCTGGAATGCTGGTCCTGTGCAGGCCGATCAGGTTCTAAGGAAACTTCTAGGCTAGAGACATGTGGGCCTTAGTTGGAGCAATTTGTGGGCCTGGACCCTAGGAGATGAGCCATTTTAAACCTGTTTCAGGATGCATATTTTGAGGGAAAGCCTGGAGCAGTCTGTATTTGATTTAAATGTGATGCAACAAATAAACTAGGGAGAAAGCTCAAATAAGAAGTTTAGGGAAATTTTTCTCTCAGTGTACATTTGAAAATTTATGCCCATGGACCTTGTGATTCAAATAAGAGGGATCCAAGACCAGGAGATGAGGACAGAGACAGAGACAGTGAGACAGACAGTGAAGAAGATCCCACTCTCAGGATTCGGGAAATCAAGTAGGTGTTCTGGGAAACAGGGAGAAGCAGAGGTGTCCTGAAAGATTCTCTCACTGAGGGAGTGCCTGGGTTTATCAGAGAATGGTAGGCACACAATGTCCCAGGAGTCAAGGACTCTGACCTGGAAACCTATGACATTTTCCTCTCAGTGTAGCAGGACTGGACCAACTCCATGATGCCTCACAAAATGTGATGGGTCAAGCAATGACAAGATGGTTAATTTTCAAAGAGCAGTGACTCAGCATGCCATAATTCTCTGTAGTCACTCTTTACAAGCAGAGGGTAGTGAAGAGCTGGATCCAACTGTCAGCAGGTAAATCCCTGGCCACTTTAGAGGAACATTAGTAATGATACAGGAACCATGTAAAATCATTCTCTGTCACATCCATTCAGTGTTCCCTGAAAAACAAGCACCCCTTTCCCACACAGCTGAGCTCTGTGAACACGGAATTAGCATGAATGTCTTACTGCTCAAGCTACACTGTGAAGGTTGAGTGTAAACTAATACATACTAAATTGCATTGGTGCTCAGGACCAGGAGGGGTCACAGCGGAGCCAAAAATAAGCAGGACAGTAATAAGATGAGGATAGGAGGGGACTAAATATTCTCTGTGGAATTCATATAAAAGCCTATACATGAACAGCAACTATTGAAGGTTGTATGTGAAGTCCCCAATATTCAAACACAGAAAAACTCTTTGTTAAATATTGCACATTTTATTTTCTTGTTTGTCTTATTAATATTTAATTATTTTTGTTATTTGAAATTTTTTCATATAGTATTTTTAGATCACAATCTCACTGCCCAATTCCTCCCTGATTTTAACTATCTCTTTACCACTCAATTCCACATCCTTTCTTTGTCTCTATAAAAAGAAACACATGGACAAAAAAGAAAGAATACAATACCAAATGCAAACACACACACACACACACACACACACACACACACACACACACACATACACACACACACAAATATGGGAAACACAGAGATGCAAACAGCTGGAAAAGCCAAGCAAATCTTGTTCCTCCATGAGAGAAGAATACAAATTCTGCTAATTTCAGGAGCTTTGGATATATCCAATAACAATTATTAGTCCCAATGGAGCCTAATCTCTTCACCTGGAGGACCAAATATCTCAGGTTCCAATTCTATTTGTAAATTGAAATATTAGACCTTGATGTGTCTGTAGGGTCTGCACAGGACTCAGGAATGGCTCCTTCTTCAGACAGCATCACTATTTGGAGTGCTGCATCCTGCTGCCTGACCCAGGTCTCCTCTACCTCCTCATTCTCAGCTGGACTAGGTCCTTATCTAAGAAGCACCCTGCTCATGAATATGCAAATCACAGGAGTCTATGTGGTAAATACAGGGATGTCTACACCACCAACAACATATGATCAGTGTCCTCTCCACAGTCACTGAGATCACAGGTCCTCACCATGGGATGGAGCTGGATCATCGTCTTCCTGGTGACAGCAGCTTCAGGTAAGGGGCACCAAGTTCCAGAATTAAGGATGGGGAATGTACTCAGGTTACAGTAACATCCACTCTGCATTTCTTTCCAGGTGTCCACTCCCAGGTCCAGCTCAAGCAGTCTGGGCCTGAGCTGGTGGAGCCTGGGGCCTCAGTGAAGATATCCTGCAAGACTTCAGGCTACACCTTCACTTTTGGTTATATGCACTGGGTTGAGCAGAAGCCTGGGCAGGGACTAGAGTGGATTGGAAGAATTGATCCTGATAATGGTAATACTCAGTACAATCAGAAGTTCCAGGGCAAGGCCACACTGACTAGAGACAAATCCTCCAGCACTGTCTACATGGAGCTCAGCAGCCTGACATCTGAGGACTCTGCAGTCTATTACTGTGCGAGAGACACAGTGTTGCAACCAAATCCTGAGTGTGTCAGAAACCCTGGAGGAGCAGGATGCTGAGATGACACAGAAGATTATCCTGGAGACTTTCTCAGAATTCATAAATCTGAATGTCCCTTTTACATCGTCCTTCTAACAGTCCTATAGGGTGTTTGTCAAGCTTTCCAAATGACATCTGAGAATGAAGTGGTGCTGATTGAGTAAGCCCTGTGGTCCTGCAGTAACTAGACATTGAGGAGATCTGTATCAGTGACCACCTCCATTGGCATGCTTCTGCTTTAATGAAACAGAGAAAAAGACGCTGTGACAATACATTATGAGGTGTGTGTGTGTGTGTGTGTGTGTGTGTGTGTGTGTGTGTGTGTGTGTGTGTGTGTGTGTGTGTGTTTTATTTATAAGAAGATTAT